ACCCTTAGCAGGATGCAGCGCACCTTTCATGCGACTCGCCGAATATCTCATGGCGCTTCGCGCTTGGTGATGTGAGAGCCTGGTCCGGTGAGAACCCGGCGTGCTCCGTCCCGGCTTTGAAGGGATGCGAGGTCAATGGTCTAACGACTACGGCATGCACGACTATGAGTACCCCCCCCCCCCGCCGCCGCCGCTTGCCCCTGGCCAGAAGGTTGCCACACCTTCCGGGGTGCTGCTTGATATTTGCGAAGTACACATCAACCTTTGCTAAGCTGTCACGCATTTTTCTTTTCCCCCCTGCTCTTATCCTTTCCCTCCCCTTTCCGTCGTTTTTTTTTTTTTCTCGGGGTCGACATTCGGCAGGTGGGAGAGAAAGTAGCCAAGTCGACGGGCGGCAACTATCCGAACGCGACGGCCATCGTAGACTGCATCAAGTTCGGCCTGTCGTCGTCTAAGCAGGTTGGTTGGTCTATGTAATGTGCGGTGCCGCAAGGTTGTATGTTCGACTATCGAAGAAGTGGCTGATCTGCTGCAGGGCTTTCCGGCGGTATCCTGGCGCGGTTTGCTGTTGTTCGTGTTCTGGTGGATCGTGCTCTCGCTGTACCTCAAAGCATGAGGCGCCTTGACTAGGTTTGTCGACGGAAGTCATGCCATCTGGTTTCTGTGACGGTGGTTCGTTTGTCTGCCTGTGATTCTAACGCGTGGTGTGCTCGGGAAAGGTATTTTCTGTTTTTTATGCTGCTTATGTGATTTGTGAAGTCATGCCGCTGGTCGGCCTTTATTGCTGTTTCTCACGTTGTTACACGTTTCTCAGGCTGCGCTCGAGTACGAGGCGCAGCGCTTCTCGGAGATGGCTGCCACGCCGGAGTCGGAGAGCCTGATCGGCCTGTTCGAGGGGTCGACGGCTCTCAAGAAGAATCGCTTCGGCAAGCCCGCGAAGAAGGTTCGTGTGTGCTGCCGTGGTTGTATCGGCGTGCTGCTGCTGTCTAGTTGCTGTCTAGTTGTTGGGCCGGAACCCAGAGAATAGGCACCCGCGTATGCTCTATAATGACTGTTGATATGAATCTACGTCATGATGGATACCGCACTTGCATTCGACATGTTCCTGGAGGTTCACTTGCGGGGGTATTATGTCGTAGGGTTACGAAACAGCAGGGTGTGGAGGTGGCCTTTGAAGATGGGTTCGCATCCCACAACACCTGTCGTAGACGATTCACCCTTTTCACGTTGGCGTCGACGTGAGACGTCTAGTTTATGCGTGCAGGAAGACCCGGGTTCGATTCCACCCCTCCCACCTACAGACGGTGGGAGGCACGAAAATCAATCTGTGGAACGTCTGGTGCGCCTGTTCGAAACATGGCCAGAAATGGTGATGGATTGACTCGAACCCGCCGCCAGTCGGCCGGGTTCCGGTTCCCCCTAGAAGCCGTCTACTTGTCTGAATTTTGCTAACGAGAAAATGGATCCTAACGGGGTCGGAAGAACGTGTAGAGGCGGCTTTGTTTGAGGGCCACGTCTGCCGGACGTGTGTCGAGGGCCACATGTCCCCAACCTCTCCCGAGGACGATTCTCGCTAGTCGCGAGCGTATAGAACAAAAATCCATCAAACAGAATATTATTAGGTCACAACACACGACGATTCCGTGCTTGATCTGCTGAAACTAAGTAGGTGGAGAAGGTGGCGGTTCTCGGGGCGGGACTGATGGGAGCGGGGATCGCGCAGGTGTCTGCGGAGAAGGGAATGACCGTCCTCCTCAAAGACAGGCAAAGGGGACTGCTGTTGTTAGGTGCCGTTGTTTCTGTGGCCTGGTGTTTGGTTCAGGTAACCATGGACCGTTTGCGCTGTTTCCGGTCATGTTGGACGGAAGGAAGGTCGAGAGGATGAAAGCTTGAGCTTGCCTCACGCCATGGGATGAAAATTTTGCTCTCGTTGAGACTCAGGCGGCAGGATGGGGGGGTTGTGCAAATCCACCGTCCCATGGTAGTCAAAGGAACAACAAGCGAGTTTTCTTGTTGTCCCTTCGAACAGCTGTCATGGGAATCAAGCCTCAAGTCGAATTTTTTCGTTGTCCCCGTTGTCGGTCGCCCATCTCAAACGATACCTTCGACAGGGATTCGGCGTCCGTGGGAAAGGGGACATCGTACATCATGGACAACGCGGCGGCCAAGCTCAAGAAGAAGCGCATGACCAAGTACGAGGTGTGGCCCCTTTCCTCTGTTTCTTATGAAGTATATGTGTATCTCAAACTTTTGTGTTTGCTGATCTTAAGGATGGCGTGCAGACGAGCTACGCTTAGAAGTTGGAGACAATTCCGATGAAGGAACTTCCATATTTATTTTTTCGAAATTACTTCAGAAGTGCCTCTTGGGAAACGCGAGCAACATCAACTCTCTCCCTTTCCGGGTTTCCAGGCGTTTGGTGCCGAAAATTACACGCAAGTTGCTGTGCTTGCGCTGGGTTCCCATCAAAACCTAGCCGTTAACTCTTTCAACAGATGCGTCCCATGCCTTTTGCGGTTGTTGCCTCGCGTATAGATGGACACGGTCGGGTCTCGGGTGATCCCCCTGACCGACGAGGGCGACCTGTGGCAACGCCACTTCGCCTCGGCGGAGATGGTCATCGAGGCCGTCCCGGAGAACCTTGACCTTAAACACAGGTTTGTGTGTCATGACATGTATCTACTGCACGGTTTGGCTGTGCTCGGTCTCCTTTGTGTAAATGGCGTAAGAAGAATGGCGGTTCACGGGAGTGCGCTTGATTCCGATCTGCGCGTCCGCGACCGACCTCCATGGACTTCGCGGGAGGGTATGCTGGGTTCCGTGGCGTTCTGGTTTTTGTTCTGCCCTCGTTCCATTCCGTGTGCGCTAGTGTGTGTCGGCATTCACAGCCGTGGTCGGCTCCCCTGCTCGAAACCCGAACTCATCCGTACGACTTGAGCATTCCGTGCCTTTGCTTCGCTGCTTTCACAATTTTGTGGTGGGTTTTATTGCGCAGAGTAATCCAGCAGGCGGAGCAGTTCCTCCCGGAGGACTGCGTGTTCGCCACCAACACGTCCGCCCTGCCCATCAGGGACATCGCGACGGCTTCTAAGCGACCGCAGAACGTGGTGGGCATGCACTACTTCTCGCCCGTCCCCATGATGCCCTTGCTCGAGGTGAGAGAGCGCAGATAGCCGAGAATTGCAAAGGGTTGTATGCATACAACAGCAGTGGTCGCGGTGCAGGGCACGGGTGATTTGCGAGCCAGAGACTTGCCACGAAGGAGTTGTTCCTGGTAGGGGAGAACGGGAGGGCGGCGCAGGGGACGCGCGTATGTCCTGCTCGTGTTTCCGCGGGATGGTGTTGGTTGGAGGTTTGCACGCGACCAGCACAGAATCCTATTTTCACGCCCGGGGACCCGAGGGATTTACTGCGCAGCGTGAGGATATCTCGCTCGCGTGTTTTACCTTGCCGTAACAATTTACACAGCACGGTCAGGTATATCGCTTCCATGGTAGGTTCGAAGAGCTCCAGTGCTTCTGCGAGGTTGGCCTGCATGCATGCAACCTCCCGAAGACGATACACACCTTCGCATGTGTGAAAAAAGCATCGGCGCCACCGTTTCTGGTGTATCTCAGCCCAGCGCATTCTCCGTCGCGCTTCCATTTCTTGTTGTTGCCAGATCATTCCCCACGACGGCACCTCGGACGCGGCTGCTGCGGCCGCGGTTGACGTCGGAGGGCGTCAAGGGAAGACTTGCATCGTTGTCAAGGATGTGCCGGGGTTCTACGTCAACAGGTGTGAACGTGCTCAAGCAGGTGGCGGGGACGTGGTGTGCTGTTGTGCGGTCACGTCGACCTCGTGCACTGAGTAATCGTTAACCTCCTGATTTTGAGTTACCTCCGTAGTACGGAAAAGTATGGAACAAGAGATTGTAGCACAGCATCTCGCCCTAGGCCTATCCACTTCGAGGCTGAGGCACCCAAGGAGCTGAAGCTTCGGATGCCGATATGGTCATGTTCCTCCGGAAGAAAAATTGCCTGTTTGCTCAACCCTTGTTTTTGGCGATGAAACTACCCTTGTCCTGGACGCTGAATCTTTTTCAGGTGCTTGGGCCCGTTCCTCGTGGAGACGTGCGCTTTGGTGGAGGCGGGGGTGGGGCTGGAGCAGCTGGACAAGGTCATGAAGTCCTACGGACTGCCTGTGGGGCCCATCACCCTAGCGGACGAGGTGAACACGAGGGATCCCGGGGACACGATCCTCCGATTTGGCGGCGATGGGGATGGTCATATGTGTCGGCATAGGCGTGTTGTCTCTCTCGTTGTTGATCACGGTCATGTTGTTGATGTTGATGTTGTTGTTGTTGTTGTTGTTGTAACCGGTGGTGGCGGTGGCTGTGGCAGTCACTAGAGCCCGCGATTTGGGATTGCATCGACCTATTTAGACGAAACTCTCCTGGAGCAAACATCCAGCTGTCTTGGGGATTTGGAGAACTCGCGCTGAATTTCATTATTTTTCGTCTCACACGAATAATTCGCTGTTTGGTGTCATCTTGCGGCGTAAATTTTCGCATCTGACGAAACGGCGTCCTTCGCTTTCATGTGTATAACTTACACCGCCGCTCACGCAGCAGTTGGAAATCTTGACTCTCGAATCTGCAGCTAGGTGTCTTACCCTCGTGCGACGCATCGCTGGCATATGCAGGTGGGCATCGACATCGGCTTCCACGTGCAAAGCTTCTTGTCGGAGGCAGACATGGGCGTGAGAATGACCGGCGGCAACGTGGCGGTCATGGGCGACATGGTGAGACACCGCGAGCAGTGTCAAGGCTGGTGTTTCGAGCTGGTATGCACAATGCGCCAGAACCCACGTCACAGTTAATCCATTACACACGGCATCAGATGCTCGCGTGCAACGGGAAACCTATACTGAATCAGGCAGTAGAGTGCGCCAGCTGGGGTAAAGTGACTCTATGTGGGAAACGCAAAAGATGTGACGACATCCAAGCGCAACCTTTTGATAACAATAAGGTCATGGACAGGATCGAAATGTCACCCACCGAAACAAAATACACACCGCATAACTCCGCGCAGCGATGAAAACCTTGTATGAATATTCCATACGTCAACATTGATAATGACCAGGTGGAGAAGGGGCTTCTCGGCCGCAAGTCCGGCAAGGGCTTCTACCTGTACCCTAAGGGGAAGAAGGGCAACAAAGGGGGCAAGGAGCTAAACCCAGAGGCGGTGTCGCTCATCAAGGCGCACCAGGCGGCCGGCGGAGGGGGCGCGTCCCTGGCAAACGATGTCATCCAGGACCGCATGATGTGCAGGTGAATGCGGCAAGCGAGTGGAAGGAGACGATGGCTGTTATGGGGGTGGCGTGAATAAGCATTTGGTTGGGCAAGATGGGTGCACGCGGCAACGATCAGAATGGTTGGCTACTGCGATGCGTAAAAGATATAGTAGCTGTCGCTAAAACGAGCGACAGCTGATAGATGTAACTGTCGTCAGACGTGTGCGTCCGCGGGAGGTGGAAGAGACCCTTTCTTCTTCTTTTTCTCTTTGCAATTCACGTCATTGGTTACCCGCGACGGCGCTGAAGACGCCCATGTCCGTGTACTTGACCCTCGTACTCTGTGCTAACTCCCCAAGTCTAACCTCTTCCTGCAGCCTAGCCTTCATCGTCGGCGAATTTCCAAGGTTACCAATCCTGTCGAAACTCATGGGCTCTACCATGAGGTCCACAAGTCTCTTCGCCCTACTGAGACAGACGAAAGTAAGCCCCGTGCAGGCCTCCTTGGGCCCCAAGTCAATGACGGCCTTGGCTAAAGTCTGCCCCTGGGACTTGTGCATCGTAATTGCCCAGCAGAGCCTAAGGGGCAGCTGCGTCCTGACCTGCGTCCCCCCGTCCTGCCAGGTGGTGTCGACGGGAGAAATAGGGACACAACGTCTATACCTCTCCTGAGACGACCATTCCCCCCCCGAGTACCCTTCAAAC